ATAAAAGCTATTATTATCCAAGTAGAATTGGCACTAAAGAGTTTCCAGATTCATTTCTCATCCAGCCTCTGTACAGGGAGACCTGTATTTCCTTTCTGCCTCCCTTGCACATCAAACCCTCATTTAATCTGTCAGCAGTACAGAGCCTTTGGAACAAATTCTGTTTGGCTTGATGGAATGGTAAAGAATATATCATAAATGAGAACAATTTCAGATAAAAGACAATCTGCTCTGAGTGTTAATTGAAATAAATTGAGCCAAATAGTAGTTCCACACAAATAAGCTGAATAGAACCAACAAGTATGAATTTAAAGGTTAAAAAGAAAGTCTGTCTCCTCTTCCCTTTCTTCCAATGTACTCTTCAAGTGCTCATTGTACCAAAAGGGTTCTGTCAAGCTTCAGTCCAAGAGAATGCTGCTGACATCCATGGCATCCCGGCTTGCGGGAGACAGCTTGACATCTTAGTTGCTAGTAAAGAAACTCTATGCCTCACCACTGCCTTGTCAAAATGACATGAAGGTATCTGCAATTAAACTCTAAAGCCAGTTTCTCACACTGCATGGTATCTTTGAAGGGGAGGAGGTTAATTTCTTCATAAGGTCCTTGTATTCTAATCAGTGTGACTCTGGCATGCAGCCATAAAGACTAGATCGAAGTGTTCAGTCTAATCAGGCTCTCCTCAACACAGAAATACCACTGCTATCCTGTGGAATCTGCATATTATGGTTAGGATGTTTTCTGGAAACTCTCTTTCTGGAAACAAAGATTTAGAGCTAGGCTTAATCTGTATTCTAAGGAGCTATAGCAACTTTTGAGAATAGACAGATGAAGTGCCAAGGGGAATTCGATGTCTATACCAAGGACCTGTTAAGCCTGGCTTCCATCACTGCTAGCACAGTGTTATAGTTTGGAAGTGATCTGTCCACCCAAAGGTTCATGTGCTGAATACCTGGTATTAGAACCTGGATGGGGCCTCATGTAACGCAATTATATCATGAGAACAAAACCTTTAGAAGACATTAATTCAGGTTTTAGAGAACTGGTTCATTCCAAGACAGAGGGAGCCTGGCACCTGAATCTTGTACACATGATCAAGCCTTTGTGATCTCATCCAACATGAGGCCCTCATCCCAGCCAATCAGATATCAGGACTGTTAGCTAAATATTTTTTTCTTTATAAAGTACCTGTCCCCAGGTATTGTTATAAAATACAAAACAAACAAAGATACCTAGTCCCCAAGCTTTTAACCTGCCATTTCCTCTCTGTAGGTAGCCAAAATTTCTGAACTACCAAATTTCTTGGGTTAATTCCTGTTTATAATTCTCTCATGGCCTTCTTTGCCCTCAAAATAAACCTTAAATGCCTCAAGAAGGTTTTCAAGGCCCTGAATGGGCTCTACTTTCTTCTATTCTTCTTTTATGTGCAGCTTTTAACATTTTTTTTTCTTCTACCTACCCTGCTCCTCCTTTGACTGCCTGTCTTACTGTCCAGACCTTTGTTTATATATAAGCTTTTCTGCTAGGCCTCCAAGACTGCCTAGGGGAGTCCTTCTTCAAGCTGTCTGGACTTCCTTAATCACAGCACTTCCCCATAGGGTAAGTGCTCATTATGTGCTCCCCTTTCTCTCTAGACTTGGGATCCAAAAAGGTAATGCCATGTCTGCCTTTGTCACCATTATATGCCCAGCATGTACACAGTGCCAGACCCAAACCAGGGTCATACATATCTTCTAAATGGATAAGAGAAAGGAAAAGAAGAAAGACCAAAAAGCTTATTCCTGAGCACAGCTGGGACAGAACCAGAAGTGAGTCTCTGAAGTTCTATAGGTTTTTAAGCAAGGTGCCTGTGATTCTAGCTATAGCAGACAAAGAGCTAGAAAGGTTCTTACAGTATAGGGTTAAAGAGTGAGGAACACTGTTGTCAACAGCAAGAAGCAGCAGGATGTAGATACAAAATAATGCATATTACTTCTAAAAAAGAGGCTCAAGCTGTAAGGAGGAAAAAAGAACTGTATCTATTGATTTGAAATAAAACCAAAGAAGAGTCAAGCCCCAGTTCAGCAAGGAAACATGGAACAGTTCATTTAGTATCTTTGCTTGAGGAATTCAAACTAGATCAGTAATTTACAAACTGAATTTTGAGGAATCCTACACTTTGCAGAAGCCTTTCAGGGTCTACTGGGATGAAGTAAGAAGGTTCAACAATAGATTTAACCCTCAATCTAAATAGAGAGAGGAAAAAAAAGTTTTCTATATATTGAAGTTCTACTTAGTTTGGGGGAAAAAAGGCACTTCTACCAAAAATAAAGTTCGAATACCAGTAGCCTGAATGATCTTTCTGATACCTCCCAGTGTTGAGTACATAAGCCCATACGACATATGAAGTCCATGTAGACATTTTATTCAGCATAAGCGCCCCTTGATTGTGGTGATGGCTCAGCTGCAATATATCCTAGAATCTGTTCTCAATGGCTGAGCAGAATGACTGGAAAGCTACGCAATCCAAAGTCCAGATTCACTATATGAGAGAGGCAAAAATTAAATAAATGTACTTTAAATTTTCATCCAAATGCTAATACTGAGAAGCACAAAGACTTTATCCCCCTTTCTAAACAAGGCTTGGCATATCTATGACCTAGAATTCATTGACTAGTATCTTATGTCAGACACAAAGATGTTATAATAGGTCAGAAATAAAGACTATTTGATTAAGAACATGTTAAAAAAAACAATTTCAATAAAGAATAGTTTATTTACTGGGTGTACCAGATAACCTAATTACCATTTAAATGTAGTGCCTGCTCTTCTTAGCAAGGTATTCTAAATGTGATATAGAATAAAGCAGTCACTGTCATTATGTACTTTTCAAGTCTACTTTTATCTGAAGGTTACAGGCAGGAAATGACATAGATGAGGAGGGAGGGAGGAGTCTTATAAAATAAGAACTTCAAAGCCCTGGCTTAAGCTGGAGATCCCTTTTCTGTGCTGTTTCTTCACTGCCCATATTTCATGGGGCATTAAAAGCCATAAACAACACTCTACTTCAATTCTGAGATCAGACAAGCAGCAACAGTTTGATCTTACCTGGGTCCTTCCTCGTCACCCTGAAAGACAACAGAAAAACAGTATTAGAAACCATCAGCAGAAATCAATTTAAGCATCTTTCTTTTCACTCTCAACCATAAAGCAGAGACTGCTTTGTTTATGGCCAAAAAGGTATGTCTAATAGGTAAGAGATGGACTAGTATAATCCTATATTCAAACTGCCCAGCAGAGATAAACTGATCATTTTACCCTGCAAACAGAGATGTGAATGCACAGACTTAGGAGGCCTAAGTACGGCCTTGCCTTATTATTTGTATGGCTGGCAGTATTTAGTTCAGAGCCCTAAAATAGCAGGTCCTAGGCAAAAACTGACCAGCTCCAAAAGCATCAAGCTGTGTCCTTCAAAGACACATTTCTTCCTTGGTCTAGCATTTTTTTCTCCAAACATGAACACAAATATACAGCATATTTAAATGGGAAAAGAACCGAATTGGACTCAGAAAATTAGGATTCTAGTCCAATCTCCCCTTCAGAAAGTTATTAACTATACACTTGTAGGATAGCTAATTTAGACCTTGATCCTTTTTTTTTTTGGTCGTGGGCCTTGAACTGAGCTCTTCCATTTGATCCACAGCCCCACTTTCAGTTTTCTGGTGGTTTATTGGAGATAAGAATCTCATGGACTTTCCTGCCTGGGCTGGCTCTGAACCTCAATCCTCAGATGTCAGCCTCCTTAGTAGCTAGGATTACAGGCGTGAACCACCCTGGCGATCCTCTCCTTTATAAGTGGGTAATATGGGCAATTTATGATCCACAGTATTCTTCTCTTATTCTTGTCGCTTTTACAAAAACAAAGTTTATGTTTTTTCTACATATTATACTGTCTTGCCCTAACTTTACCAATAATGATAACAGCAGGTTCCTTTGTGACCAAATGAGATATTTCAAATGACTCTGAAGCCTTTTCAAGGAACATCATTCATCCTTTTGGTGACAAAGTATCTTTTGCATTGTCCTCTTCAATTATTTAGGGGTAGTCTCAATATAAAATGTAACTTTTGGTTAGTGAATAAATGAGTGAATGGTTTCTACTGGTAAATAGAATAAAAATCTGGAGCCAGACACTGTGTGTGGAAATCTTAACTCCAGGAGCCAGGCCTGGTAATGTATGTAATCCCAGCTACTTGGGAGGCAGATCAGAAGGGTTCAAGTTTGATGCAAGTCTGGATAAACATTTAGGGAGACATCCCCCCAAAATAAACTGGTATGAAAGAACAGCTAGCTACACAAGAAGTAAAAGTAGAAAGGTCATAGTCTGAGGCTGGCCAGGGGAAGAAAGCCTGAGACTATCTGGGAAAAAAAAAAAGTCAAAAAGACTGGGGGATATAAATGCTAGAGCACTTTATAAACAAGCTCAAAGTCCTGAGTTCAATCTCCAGTACTGAAAAAACAAAACCTATACTTCACTGTGTATTTGCCATGTTACCCTAGTCCAATTATTTTGCCTCTCTTAACTTCAATCTCATATTTTACAAGGGTTGAATAATACTTATAGCCAGACACTGTGCCTGAGACACTTTGTTTATTTTTGCCAGTCTTGGGGCTTGAATTCAGGCCCTGGGCACTGTCTCTGAGCTTCTTTTGTTCATGGGTAGCACTCTACTACTTGAGCCACAGCACCACTTCCAGCTTTTTCTGTTTATGTGGTACTGAGGAACTGAACCCAGGGCTTCATGCATGTTAGGCAAGCACTCTACTATTAAGCCACATCCCTAGTCCCAGGATATGTTTTAATAAAGGTTATTTACTAATATCAGTAGCAATTCTGTATAATTAAAAAGCTACTATATGTATGTGCTAAGGAGAAAGAAATAGGCAATTCATAATAATCCAATCTTCTAACAGTTCCCAGTCAGAAATAGGAAAAGTAGGAAGACAGAAAATAAAGGGAATGTGTACTTGTTCCAGCAGCACATATACTAAAACTGGAACAATACAGAGAAGATTAGCATGGCCCCTGCACAAGGATGATACACAGATTCGTGAAGTGTCCCATATAAAAAAGAGAGAAAGAGAGAGAGAAAGAGAGGGAGGAAAGAAGGAAGAAAAGACGAGAGAGAGAGAGAGAGAGAGAGAGAGAGAGAGAGAGAGAGAGAGAGAGAGAGAAGAAGGAGGAAATGTGTTACAAGTTCTCCAAAAGACAAAGTTAGAATGCACTGAGAGTCAAAAGAGAAGGGGTAAGTCAGGTATTGGTGGCTCATGCCTTAAATCCTAACTACTCGGGAGGCTGAGATCGGAAGATTGCGGTTTGGAGCCAGTCTGAGCAGGAAAGCCTGTGAGCTTTTTTTTTTTTTTTGGTGCTATTCCTGGGGCTTGAACTCAGGGGGCCTGGGTGTTGTCCCCAAGCTTCTTTGTGCTCAAGGCTAGTGCTCTACCACTTGGGCTATAGTACCACTTTTTCTGCGTAGTTTATTGGAGATAAGAGTCTTAGTACTTTGCTTCCCGGGCAAAGTAATCCTCAGTTCTCAGCCTCCTGAGTAGCTAGGATTACAGACATGAGCTACCAGGGCCTGGAGTCTATGAGACTTTTATCTCCAATTAATCACTAAAAAGCTGGAAGTGGACCTAAGGCTCAATTGGTACAGTACTAGCTTTGAGCATAAAAGCTCACAGACAGTGCCCAGGCTCTGAGTTCAAGCCCCAGAACCAGCAAAAAAGAAAAGAAGTCAGAAAAGAGAAAAAAGAAGGGGTAAACACTGCCTCTCCTGGAGTAGCAAGGAAGACTACACGGAGAAGGTGACATTTACAGTCTTCCTTGAAGGATTTACTCAGGGTGACAACAGAGGAACATTGACATCAGAGCACTGAACTATCAGAAGCAAAGGCACAATTAAAAAACATGCAATACTGATTAAGAAACTTCTGAGTCCTATGGAACTGGAGAATGAGAATGTGCATGTGTGTGTGTCTTGGAGGGGGAACAAAGGGCAAACAGAAACCTAATATAAAATCTGACAATAACATTATGAAAACATAAAACTGTAAATAATCTTCATGAACAAAGATATAAAAGTCCTTAACAAAGTATTAGAAATATGAGTAATTTGGGGTTATATCCTAGATATACTGAGTGGTGTTACAAGAGTCGGTCTCCTATTTAACTCTTGTATTGTAAGTGCATAGTCAACCTGTTTAGGATCAGAATATGTATGTCTTGGATCACTTTCACAGGCTGTGGTCTAATCTGGCATATAAAACCTCTGCAGTGATATTTTAGTTTTCCCTGTTCATAAGTCAGGACTAAACCTACAGTCTCTCTGGAGTTAGGGTATTACTACAGGGTGTCAGGTAAAATCTTACTGACTCAACTTGGGAGGGGCAACAACTAATCAATGTAGGATAAGAGGAAGGAGTTAAGAGTTGTAGCTACAATCTCCACAAGGGAGGGAGAGATACAACTCCCTTACAGTTAGACAGGCAGGAGTAAAGTCAAGAGTTCCACTTACAGGTTTATGGAAGGTAGGCATTACTTACTATGAGGGGTTAGGGTAAAGGCAGAAATCAGTTTCACCCACAGGCTCCATGGGGAAACAAAGACACCTTGATGCTGCAGTGAGTATATAAATAAAGATTCAAAGCTACTGGTTCCATTGCAACAGTGCCAGTTTGGTCTGTGGAGGAGTGTTGCTTTTTCTTCAAAAGGCTTCTCTGTGGCTGGATTACCCTTTCTAGTCATTTGGCTACAGACAGTAGATTTTTCTTGATGATTTTCTGTATCCATTGGTGTTCCAGTTTTCAGAACACCCAGGTTAAGATATACAGGAAGTAATGAAAACTCCAGGATTTTGTTTTACAGTTCTTTACAACCAAAGGTCCCCATTCAGTATGCCATCTTTTTCCACCTTTAAGAGTCTTCTGATGATGACTTTTGTCTAAGGATTTTTGCTGTAATTAGGGGAAGAAGTAAAATGGAATGTATACTAGTTTTTGTTCAGAACAAGAAGTTCCATTTTGTTAGCATCAAAGATAAAACAGACTGGTAAGTGAAAGGTTAGAAAAATGGGTAGAAATATAACAAAGCAAGTATGATAGAGTGTTAAAGCATTGGAATCTAGAGGGGAGGTATATATATGTCACCTGTAAAATCCTTTCAACTATAGTGTTTGAAATTTTTCATAAGAAAATGTTGGAAAAAGAAAATCTTTTAGCTTAATTAAAAATGCAGGTGATTTAAAAAAATCCATACTAAGTAAAGAAAATGAAAAACTTCCTCTGAATGAAAGAGAAACATTAACTGTTCTCTAAATAGTCAACAGATTAACTAAAATGGGAAGCTATTAGATGATAAAGCTCTTTGAAAATGCTCTGGCCAGCAGAATGCTACTTATTTTTAGTAGTTTGTTTTGTCCACAGCCTGATCCTTGAGCCTTGTCAACTCTTGTATCTCTTCCCCCCGCTTCCCCACAAGAGCAATTCCATCCACTGAAATGCTTAAAGAAGATTCAATGTTGGGAGAGGGCCTAAATTCATTGTTTAGAGAGTAGGCTATGTTGCAACCTAAATCTTTTTTTTTTTTTTTCATGAAAGAACAACTAATTAACACAATTGTGAGTGTTTAATTTGAGGGGAATTTAAGACAGGCTATTGACCTCTTGAGTTAACTCTGAATGTTTTGTTTATGAAGACACAAAGTGCCCACCTTATATTTTAAGGTCTTACATATGCAAAAACACTTTTCCCACAAAACACAAATAGGATGCTTAGCATGCAACACATAGTAAGGTCCTGAAGTAGGACAAATTTAAACCTAAATCCTGACTCTACTTACTAACTAAATGGCACTTGGACATTGTCTCTGAAATTCTCTGCATCTTGCTATACCTCCTGTAAAGTGGAGTTGACATTAAGACTAAATGATGAATGCCAAGTACTTTCCTGGCTACTTACAAAGACATTTAGTGCATACTTTCTTAATTCTAGAGAGTCAAAATGAAAAAAAAAATTGGAGCTACTCTTTTCACACACTAATGAAAATTAATCAAGAATCCTAGCTGGGTGCAATGCTTCCACTTGCTCTCAATATGGCTCAATAGTCTCTTCTATTCTTGTCAGGCTGGCTTAGATTACACTGTGACTCTTCTGTTGCCCAGTGTATTCTGTCGCCAGAAAAAAAGATTGCCAGTAGAGGCTAAGCTCAATGAGTCAGCAACTATCAGAAAGCTCAAAGGTTTCTCTTAGGCTTTTTCCTAGAAGAATATTTCACCACAATTTTTCACCTTAATACTATGAAATTTGATGAATAGTAGTATCTTCCTAGTGGCTAAAATATCCATTTTGATTTATGAAAAGTGGCTGGACTTAATTAATTTTTTAGAAACATATTTTGAAGGTCTAAATATGTTGCTAAGTAATAATTAGGGCATTTTTATTCTATTATAAAATAAAAATTAATTTAGTAATATATTAACAACATTTGTACACTGTGTTATACACACATGTGTGTGTGACTTTCACTTACATTGGACTATTTATAAATCAATCAAGAAATCTATTGTTTATTGATACTGAGACTTGAACTCAGGTCCTGAGTGTTGTCCCTAAACTTTCTTGCTCAAGGCTGGCTCTTTGCTACTTGCACCTCAGCTAAATCCAGCTTTTGCTTTTGGATAGTTAATTGCAGTAACAGTCTCACAGACTTTGCTGCCTAGGCTGGTTTCAAATTGGGATCCTCTCAGCCCCTTGAGTAATTAGGATTATAGACATATACTACTGGTACCCTGCTTTTTTTTGATTCTCACAATATCCTTGCCCATGTGCTTTTCTTTTTTAGTTTTCCTTTTTTATTTTAAAGTGAGATGGGGGTTCTCACTATGCTACCAAGACTGGTCCCAAACTCATGAACTCACTCAAGTGATTTTCCTTCCTCAGCCTCCCAAGCAGTTCAGCTGTGCCACAATGCACAGTTCCATAAGCCACTTTTTCTTTCTTCCTCCCTCCCCCCCAGTATGGGGTTTGAATGAACACACATCACCATTCCAGCCATACTTCATTCCTTTTTACTTTATTTTTCAAACTGTTTATATATATATTTTTTAATTTATTTATTTTTGTCGGTTTAGTGTTTGAACTCTGGGTCTGAGTGCTGTCCCTCAGCTCTTCAGCTCAAGGCTAGCGCTCTACCACTTGAGCTACAGTGCCACTTCCAGTCTTATATTTATGATAACAGATCTACACTACCACACCAAGCTTTTTATTGGTTGATATGGGGCTTTACTGACTTTTGCTAAACTACTGACTTTTGGACTAAACTAAAATCTTCAAACAAAAATCTTCATAATCCTAGCCTCCTGAGTAGCTACCGATTATAGAATTTAGCTATATACTTGGCCATATGCCACTCTTAATCCAACAATTATGCCCTCAATTTAGATAGCTGGCTCTCCATAAAAATCTAATCCGAAATATCCTTCCACTATGCAGAATAAATCCAAAATCTTTCATTCTGCCCTGCTTTCTGCTTCACTTCTGTCTTGTTCTCATTCAGCCAAGTTCTCACCTCTATAATGACTTTAAGCATTCACTTCATAGATTAGGGTGTGTCAACTGAACTCTCATCTGGTTCTTATTTCTGGTTTCTCTCCTGAACTATGATATGGTGAACATATAGTTTGCCAAGCCAACTCTAGTGATCAATAATATTCCCATACTAGCTGTACATACAACTGAAATGCTTATAGCCTGTATAAGCTTTTAATTCATTCATGATGAGGGTCACAGAGGAATTCCTAAACTAACAAATACATGACAGCCAGGTTCCTTCCATTTCTCTTATTACAATAATAATGGATATTTCCATTTACCTCTGCCTTTGGCTCAGCTGATTCATTAGAGGTATCAAGTTGTTCCTTGGCCTGGGCCATCTGAGTCATCAACCTATCCATGTGGGACTGGATATCTGCCAGTATCTCAGTCACATGAGCTGTGGCCATTGCTTCCTGGATGTCCACTAGATGAAGGGCCTTCTGCTCTTCATCAGCAATCACCTTTTGAACTTTCTTAAAC